CGGTTGAGATCGGCATGCCATCTGACAAAGTAGAGCATTACGAGCCTACGGCAAATGAGGAAGAGCTGCTCCTCAACCTCGACTTGTTGGAAGAAAGAAGAGCAATGGCCCAGCTACGCCTGGCGGAATATCAGGGCAGAATGGCCAGACATTACAACGCCCGCGTTCGACCTCGGACCTTTCAGGTCGGAAATCTGGTCTTAAGGAGGGTCCAAACCCATGTGGGTGCCCTTGATCCGACCTGAGAGGGCCCGTTTGAGGTCAAGGGCATAGTCCGACCTGGGACGTACGTATTGGCCGATCTGAAAGGAGACGTCCTCGCGCATCCGTGGAACGCGGAGCACCTGAAGCGTTATTATCCTTGAAATGCCAAAAGGATTTTCAATGGATCTGTACAAACTGTTTCAAAAGAATTATGATCGGAATAAATGTGATGATTTAATTTCATGATTCCGAGTTCGACCAGAAATTAAATGGGGGCCACGGACTCCCACGCGATCACATTCCAGCAGTCGGTTAAAATTCAATCCTCCAAAACCTAAGGATACGAGGTGCGATGGCAAAACCACTGATGAACTTAAAATTCAAACCTTCAAGGTAAAGGAACGATGTGAAAAGTTCAAAATGATCAAGCCTCTGAACCTGAGGGTACGATGTACGATATGAAGAACAGCTACGGACTTAGGATTTTAGCCTTTTAACGTTTTTAAAGTTAAGGGTGCGATGTTAAAAAATCCAGAGTTGGTGCAATGCATTGAATGCTAGACAGAGATTCAAATTCAAACTTTCAAATTATTTTAATTGAAGGTGCGACCTCAAAAGTAAGAGGTGCGAGGTGACATTGGCTGCAGTTCAAAGAAAAAGCAAAGAAAGGAAAGGTGTTGCCAACAACAAAGTAAAAACAAATGGGAGCTTCTTTATTGAATGGAGAGCAGAGCCAAGGCTTATAGACCTTGCAGCTCTGCCCTGACACTTACAAACAAAGAAGAAGAGAAGAAAGACAGAGAAAGGCCTCATGAAGGATGATCGCCTAAGAGCCTGCCTGAGGAGCGCCCTCCTGAGTGGTGCCGACCTGGTCCTCTTCGAGATCGGAGTAGTCAGAGTCCAGATCTCTGACATACTTATCCACCAACGCTTGGGGACTAGGGGTGCCGCCAGGCCCAGACGCCCACTGCTCGGCATACCTCTTTTTCAGACCACTGAGATCGATCTGAAGGTCAGACATGTCGGAAGCAATGCCCTTCATGAGGAACTTGAAGCCCGCGTCAGAGAAGTCCTTGGCAAATCCATCGAAGTCAGAATGTTGCCTAAACGATTCCTCCAATAGGACTCCATTGCTGAGACGCTCCTTCGCCGTCTCCAGCTCAACAGTCGCATGCTTCAGCTCCTTATCCTTCGCTTCAAGTGCCTGGAGCATGTCGTCCTTCTCCTTCAGGAGTTGGAACTTCTCCTTCTCCAAGCCCCTGGTGATAGCATGGGCAGCTCGGAGCTGGGCCTTGCGTCTGTCCTCTTCTTTCTTCAGCAGCTCGGCCTTGGTCTCCACCTCGGCCTTCAAAATTTCCACCTCAGAGTGAGCCTTCAGCAGCTCATCCTTCATGGTGGAGGAAGCAGCCTCCAAGGTAGCAGAGAACTCCTCTTTCTCCCTCGCTGCCAGAACTTCCCTCCCATCCAGCTCGGCCTTTACAGCCAGAGCCGATTGAATGGAAGCAACAAACGCCTGAGAAAAGGTACAAAGAAGAAAATTAGACCGAACTACCTGTTAGGTAAATTAAGCAAAAATGGAGACATTAGTCTTACCTCAGCGGCGTAGTCGATGGTCCTCTGCAGAACGGACCCTGGGTCGCTCACAAATTTGGACGCCCTCTTTAGGTAGCGGTCCAAACTTGCGGCCGAGATGCGGGACACCTGGTCCCTCACCCCAGAACTTGACGGCTCAACTCTGAACCGTGCCGTCACATCGGACGTCCCGCCCATCCTGGCCTCAGGATCGTCCACCCGATCTGCGAA